CGGTTACTGCTTCTCATGATTTCAACTTTGAAAAATACTGAAATCTCCACAAATCCCCTTCTAAATATAAGCATATGCTCACTAGTGACTGACTTCAAGATAAAATGTTTCATTTCAACTCTCATAGTTAGTTAAACATGTAATCCTATCACCTATCTTATAACTTATGTTAACATGTTTCATGCTGGGATTTCTAACACTTTAAATAAACTAATGAAATAAACCTTGTTAGCAAATTCATTTAATTGTTGATTTGTAAAAGAGAGAGAAACAAAAGTTGCCCAGATTTTAGGTTGACTAGTCCTATTGCCATTTATATCTATATGTGTGTGTGCACATTTGTATGTAAGTGAATGAGTGAGTGAATACAAATGAAGCTTATTCACTTAGCAATATGGGTATCAGTGTTTGTGGGTGGGTGTGTAGTCTGTATGTACACTTAAGAATTAGAGAACCACTTAAGAAAAATATAAATTTTTTTTACAGCAATATAGATTGTAACCGTTTGATAAAATGAATTCTCTTTCAAAAATGGTCAAGTGGAAACACATAGTAATTTATACTATATCAGTAGTATATAAAATTTTCTTTTAAAAAAACATGTAAAACTTTTATAAAATCAGATTGAATCAAAGTAACCTTGGTAACATTAAATGAATGAATAATACTATTAGACATCTTTACATCCTCCTTACGCCTGTTACTCCTCGTAGAGGAGCATAAACCACTCACCAGCATTATCCATTCAAGTCTGTCCTAGGCAATACTATTAGACAGTGGAATAATAATAAAAAAATCTACCTGTATACTTTTAGATGGGGATTTTCATTATGAATCGATGTTAGGCTAGAGAAGTATGAAATATTAGATAAAATACTGAATTGCTATCGTATCCTATTTTGAAACTTTTTTGATAGTTCTTATAAATGATCATAGTCTAGATTGGTGATGAAATTTCAAGCCTCTTGTTAAATATAAGACTATGACTAGCTATTAGAAGGATTTTCCTAAATTTTATCGTTTGGAAAGACATAAATTGTAATATCGTGAAAGTTACACATCAAATATAGTGAATGGGGATTACATCAGATAGTGGTGAGTTGATTAAACTTGAAAATTTCAACTAATTAACTTCAGCTTTATGATAAATGCTGTAACTGCTGAAAGAACTTAATGAGATATGTAGTTACATCCTAGAAATCCAATTATTTAGGCAGTAACAAAAAAAATGTGATCAAAATTTCTCTCACTTTTATGTAATTAAAATGACTTCAGTTCAATTGGATAGTCTTTGATATTTTTCATAGTTGAAATCATGAGTCAATTGAAGCTAGACCACCATGGAAAACCTGGAAGCACTGGACGACTGTTTCTTTTTATTAAGGGACTCATTAGCAATGCGCATCCACGATGCCGCACTCACAAGATTCGAACCCAAGACCTACCAGTCTCGCGCCGGAGCACTTAACTGATAGACCACTGAGATGGCCGGCATCCGATGGTGTTAATGTCTAATTTCAACCAATCCACAAAATTGAGTCGTTTTGCGCTGGGTTCAAATCTCGTGAGTGCGGGATCGTGGATGCGCACTGCCGCTGAGGAGTCCCATAATAGGACGAAACGGTCGTCCAGTGCATCCACGTTTCCCATGCTGGTCAGCTTCAATTGACTCATGATTTCAACTATGAAAAATACTGAAATCTCCACAAAACCCCTTGTGATCTATAGTTTTTGATATGACAAAAAGATCGAATTAAAGAAAATGGGAATGTAAACACAGAGTAATGATGATGAGGAATGATGAAGCTTGAGACAGTTGATTTAAGATTTGCAAGTAAAGTATTTAATATATGGTTTTCACATTTTGAGGAAGAACAGCGTAAACTAGTTGTCCCCACTTGAGTTATACGATTTTCAGTGAAATTACATGTATCTACAGAATAATTTAAATTTCTGTATAAACATTAACTAATTGAATATAGAACTATCAGAAGGGGTTTTGTGAAGATCCAGTATTTTTATAGTTGAAAGCGTCAGTCAATTGAAGCTAGGCCACCATGGTAAACCTAGAAGCACTGGAAGGCCGTACCATAATAGGAAGAAACGGCCGTCCAGTGCTTCTAGGTTTTCCATGGTGGTCTAGCTTCAATTGACTCACGCTTTCAACTATGAACATAGAAAGTTATTCAATCAACAATTACTAATAAATACAAATATACCATCCTGAAATCTCTACCAAATATCCACCTGACAGAATCCACCAATAACTTTATCTACTTGCTGATGAACGACACTTGTTGTATAAGGTCTTATGATACTCCTCAGTCACCTAAATCAAATACAATTAGATTCAAACATTTAACCTTCTGGTTGAAAGACGGTTGTTTCAACCAAATAAACCATCACTGCATATCAATAATGTTATAATCAATTATTAGGATACTTTCGGAGAAAATGAATCGAAAATCAACGTAAGATAGTGTTTAATACTTCTCTTTACAGATTACGTAATAAACAATAGTAGTACAGTGAACAAGAGCACAAGTGGGTACAATCGAATTCATAAGAACACAAAATTACAGAATATCCTATTAAAATCTGAGAATCATAAAGTAAATACTAAATTTGCGAAATATCGATCAATTGTCTCAAACTTGGTTGATCCTTTTCCAAATGTTAATCAATCATCTCGAACTTCACTGTTCCTTAGTTTCCTCAGTAATCATTCTCTGTTCTCATCCTCTTTTCTTCGATCTTCTTAACATTCTGCCTCCAGGCATTTCACTTTCGACTGATGACACAAACTACTGTGGTGTGGGTTACTGATATTCACATAAGTAGTATATGACGATGGTCGGGCATTGAATGTATTTCAGTAGAACATCGATAAAGAGAGAACAGGAATGGCACGCAATTGGTACGGAAATGCATGAACAATTATGATCGGAGACTATGGACGCATATTTTCAGAAGGAACAGTCAAATTGAGACAATTGATTGTTATTTTGCAAATTAACTGTTCACTATATGGCTCTCATATTTTAATGGGATATTCCGTAATGTTTTGTTTAATACATTCGATTGTCCCCAACTGGTGTTCTTGTTCACTACATTACTAATATCTGTCGACATCAGTAGTACACACTACAGTAGTAGTAGTTGTTGTTGTAGCGGTACATACATCATTCATTTCAAATGGTCTTTTGAGTGTAAATAATTTAAAAATTTGATATCTATACTGATCCATGATATGGTCGAGAAGATGAAGTTTAATTAGCTGAGATGGAGCTTTCATCGTTCTCCTGAACAACATCATCAGCATAAACTTCGGGTAGAAGTGAGGTGTTCTAATTTCTCCACATATGGTTCACAGCTTTTTCTGTACACCTCGAACAAAAATCAAACCAATGGGAGATACAACCAAAACAAAGAAGTAAACTATGACCGATTTACAGTCAGCAAGAACCAATCAACATCGAGGTGTGCATGTTCAAGCTGTGAACCACATATGGGGAAATTTGAACACTTTACTTCTACCCCAAGTTTGTTCTGACGATGTCGTTCAAAAGGACGATGAAAGCCCCGTGATCAAACCATCCAGCTCAGAGAGCAAAACTCCATCAAAGTTTATTGATACATGTTTAATTTGTAGTCAGTAATTACTTCCATAGTTTACAAAAATTAGTGGTCCGTTAAATTATCATGCCTGTATCTAACTTTTTCATTTAAACAAATATGTATTGAATAATAAATAAAATTATGTTAAATGTACAATTTATATCAAACAGAAATCAATTAAAACAAAAAATTTCCTAATACTTAGTGAATATTCACAATAGTGCCCCAAATGCTCTGGTAAGACCGAGAGTGGGGAGAGTCAACTCTCCCTCTCCAAATGCTCTTACATGATAATAAATATACAGCCACTGTCAGGGAAGTCCTACTTTTTACCTTTTCGCGGCGAGGATGTTTTTTTACGAAATTGAGAGGATGAAAAGCGAATGTCCGGTGTTTTGACTAGGTTGTTGGACATCTAAAAAAGTGGAAAAAACCTGATTTCAAACCAATGGTGTGCATGGACTTTTGTTTGCTATCCGTACGCTTACGGATTTTTACCAAACTTCAACAATAAACTATCTCTATAACTAGTGTTCAGGCTTTTGAATAATCTCGAGTAAATCCATAATTATTCTAAGAGATTTAACCTGCAATAAAGATTCAGTTAACTGGATATTATTTATTTATTGGAGTCAGATATAGAGGAATTAATCCACTACAGACTACAGGATCCTGAAGGAACAATTGGCTTAAGAACCTATTGTTGGTCACTGACTATCATGTGAATGCATCTTCTAACGTTGCTCCACTTTCTTGTGAATCAGACCTTTAGGTCATAAGCTCCGAGTGTGACCTCTTAATAAAAACACCTGTTTCTTTTTAAGCACCCAGGCAGTATCCCAGCCCTCACACAAATCGAATGACTTATATGACTTATATTTATTTATTACCTCCTTGTATCAATATTTAAATAAATAAAATTTACAATAGTAATTCAATGGAAATCATTTTTTTTTCAAAAATTAATTCATAAATAAAACAATTATCAAGTATTTACAATACATCAGAAGGGGTTTTTGTGGAAATTTCAGTATTTTCATAGTTGAAATGATGAATCAATTGAAGCTAGACCCCCATCGAAAACTTAGAAGAACTGGATGGCAGTTTCGTTCTATTATAAAATTCCTCAATGGCAGTGAGCATCCACAATCCCGCCTTAAGTGCGAGATTCTAACCCAGAACCTAACAGTCTCGCGCCATCCAGTGCTTCCAGATTTTCCATAATGGTTTGGCTTCAATTGACTCATGATTTCAACTATGAAAATATTTACAATACAGTTTGTTTGTTTAGTTGTTTATCTGTTTGTCTGTCTGTCTGTCTGTTTGTCTGTCTGTCTGTTTGTTTGTTTATCTGTCTGTCTATCTGTTTGTTTGTTTTGTAACTATGTTGTACAATTATGTATTGTATTTAAATGTTTACGTAATAATGAATAATAAATTTGTAAATTTGCATTTTTTTCATTAATTATTAATAAATTTAATAAATCATTAGTAAATAATTCTGTATAATCTTTGATATTATTCTGTATATGATTGAAGTCATTTTTAGATTTAATATCTATTGAAGGTAATAGACTTATGGTTTTGCTTAATCTTTCTATAAGTTTAGTAAAATGAATACTCAATTTGGAAGAATTCAACAAGGATGATGATGAGGATGAGGGTGGTGGTGGTGGTGGTGGTGGTGGTGGTGGTGGTGGTGGTGGTGGTGGTGAAGATTCTGTTGTTTCCATGTTTATATTCTTAGATATAACATTGTTATTTTGGTTACTATAATGTTTTGGTAAGATTCCATCTACATTATGTTTTAATACTTGGTTACCATTCTTAATTGTCTCTATAATATTGTCAGTATAATGATTTTCATAAAGATCATTCTTATGTATAGAATTGATTGAATTTGAGAACAATGTTGAACTTCTTTGTGGAGAATTATGAATTAATTGAGCAAAATCATTGTTATTTCTACTTTCATGATGATATATAGGATTGTTGGTATGTGTAGAAGACAAGTGTTTAGGCATTGAATTTAGGTAATCTATATGAGAAGTGAACAATGGGATAGAATTGTGCTCTAATTTTTCTGAAGACAAAGACGATGCTGGAAATGATGATGGTAAAGAAAATGATGATGATGATGATGGTGGTGGTGGTGGTAATAAAGAATGTGAAGTGGGAGAATATTTTCCAGTATTCGAAGTATATGACATATTATGATTATGTCTGAATGATAAACTAGATTTCTTTGAATAAAGTTCTTTTTCAAATAATTCTTCAATCAATAATTCAAGACTTTTATGACTATGATAATGAAGTGATGGAAAAAAACTTTGTTGTAACCATTTTAATGATGTAGGTGAAGAAACAGTTTGTTTTAATTTAGGCAATCGTAGAAGTAATCGACCAAATCGAAATGGTTGATAATGAGAATAATTATATTTATCATATTCTTCTAATGCACATTGTATTCTTTCTTGAATAGAATCTACAAGAGTTGGATCTTTTAGGCCAGGAGCTTCTGAAGAGAAAAATACAAAGTGATTAATCGATGAGTAGTGGCCAATGTCATATTATTTATTCCCTTAGAGTTGAATCAATCCTATCAATTAATTTGCGATATAGCTGTCATTCTAGTTAACTTAACATTCACTATATTGAGATGTTAGAGGGTTGTCTACAAGAAACCTTGAACCTAGATTTCGTTATGGTTACTATTCATCAGTAGGTCATAAATGTAATATCGAAGGAATTGACTCTCTCTGTGGAATTCGAATCAGTGTCATCCAGCTTCAGTGTTTCAAATACTACCATTGAACTCGTTGCGTCGCTACTGACCTCTTAGAGGACTGATATGCTTTTACAGTTGATTGAGTAGTGATTAATAGCATACCTTAAAAGTTCATTGCTAATGTATCGAATATTGAAGCTGAATGATACCAGTTCAAATCCCATGGAGAGTCAGATTCTTCGACATTACATGTATAGCTTAATGATGAGTATCAACTACCAAGATATCTAGGTCCAAGATTTCCTACCGACTAACTTCAAACAACTCACTATGTAAAATGGTCAGAAGATATGTATAATATGATTAAAATTAACAAGTTGAGCGAAAAAAATATTTCGAACTAGGTTCTTGTCATCATGACTCTACAGTAATCAATTGGTTAATCATGAAAGCTAATTCAGTATAAACATAAAAATATGAACTACAAATAAAAGTTTGAAATTCACCAGTTAAGCTGAGTAAAAAAAGGATACTACAGCGGAAAATCTACTTTATTTATCTGATTTTTTACACACATTCTGCTGTATGTAAAAGTGTGAAATTTGATTCGAAATTGTTTGTCATCAATTATCCCTACTCAATCATATATAAATAACTATATTCACATACAGTAGCTAGCAGTGGAAGCCAGGAAGCTCGTTTTATTTTATTTGGAACTCGTCGACTAAGTATACCTGAATCTCACGGTTGATGATCACTCAGTACCTTACGCTTCAAACGCAAGCACATCATCAAATTAGCCACTGAGTCCTGATAGACACTAGATTGTGAAATGGAGTGAAGTTTAAATTCACTTGGTATTGTTTACTTGAATCTTCTCATTGATGTTTAGGAATGCAATTGATCAGTCTCTGATTGGTATATGTGAATACTGTGAGTATTGCCTTGATGCACTGCTAGCCAAAAGTTTGTGCTAATGATGTCGTTCAGAAGAACGATGAGAGCTACACGACCAAACCATCCAGCTCAGAGAACAAAACTCCATCAAAATCATTCATCTGAGCTACGAATCTTCTCCACTATCTCACTATTCATCTTTACCTATAATGCTTGTGGCGATATCGAGGCAATCCGTACAGGATGTATATATACCAACAAGAGACTGATCAATTGAAGTGATAAACATCAATAGGACGACTCAAGTAAACAATACCAAGTGAATTTAAATTCATGCACTTTTGAAATTTTTCCTTTATGTTGTGAATCAGTCATAAATTAACGATAATACATACTCTACATGTTATACCTTTGATTATTCCTAGTATACGAAGTTTCTCTTATTTCCTTATTGTTAAACTAATGAATGTTATTCAAGTAGATGCTAAGCGTTAGATTAACCGGTTAACTATTTAATTTCCACCATTTTACTACAGACATATATATATAAACACATAAATATTGGTACAAGGGGGCACCAAATATATATGCGCCGCACAAATCTCATTTGATTTGTGTGAGGGCTGTGATACTGTCCAGGTGCGCAAACTGAAGCAGGTGGTTTTCTTAGAGGGCCACACCCGGAACCTTTTACCTAAAGGTCTGATCCACATGGCAGTGGAGCATCGTGAGGAGATGCAGTCCCATGGTAGACGGTGACCGACGATTAATTAATATGCCATTTGTTCCCTCAGGATACTGGAGCCCATGTGCACCATTGGTTTGGAATGAGGGTTTTCCAACTCCCGTATGTGAACTTTCCATGTCCACCAACCCGGTTAAAGCGCCAGACATTCGCTTTTCGTCCTCTCAATTTCATAAACAACAGTAATGCCACGAGAAGGCAGTGAATAGAACTTCCCTGGCAGAGGCTATATACGCGTGGCATATGAGAGCATTTGGAGAGAGTGAGAGCTGACTCTCCCAACTCTCCACAGTACCAGGGCATTTGGGGGCACAGACATATATATAATACTTTTTTTCATGTTTATAAGAAGTTAGCAGGATGTTTAATTTCAAAAATCTAACTTATAGAGAATAATTCAAGTTAAAGATACTTGGTCATTTTGCTTAACACAATGCCGAACATCAATGTTAGAATTCCCATCACCAAATATGAAATATTCAATGTGACAATAATAATAATAATAAGCAACCTAACAACTGTCAGTTATACTTTATTATAAAAACACAGTATTTTAATAAGTAGTATATAATTTGTCAATTAAATTTCATATTCATTTCCCCACCACCACGCCACCCCCACTCCACCCCCAATAAGATTTCTATTGTTCATTACAATAATAGTAGCTAATTATACTTTTTTCCAATCTCTTTTTTTTTCTCTAATCTAAAACAAATTTTGTATCGCTACTAATGTTACCAAGTCATTTGGAGTTAACATTTAAAACTAAGACTAATACAAAGATAAGTGTGAATGTAACTAAGACACATATTGTCTAGTTTCTCACCCGAAATTTCCTAAAATTATTACAATAATAAACCTTATTAGTCTATATCTGCCTTTTATCCTCTGATGCTTTACGTCTATCTTCTTCTTCTACTTCTTCTCTTCCCTTGTCTATTCCTTCACCGTCTTCAATTCTATCCTTATCCTTATAGTGGATATTCTTGAATAAATTGTTCAACAACATATACAACTACATATATATAGGTAACTAAATAGAAAATTTCATATTACTGAAGAAAAAAAAGAGTATTAATTAGCAAGATGTTAACAAAAAAAACGGCAGGTATTCCAATTTCAGATTGCTTGTCCGTTTCTTTTCTTTTGAATAAATAAAATGTAAAACTTGGCAATTGTTATATAACTTGTTTTTTTAACAAGTAACCCAGCAATAATCATTTAGTAACAAAACGGTTACTCTTCTTCCCATCATTCATCGTTTACACATATGAATAGACGAATAGATTTTTTTGTTGGTTTAATCTGTCACTACATAAAATCCGTTAAGTAGTGCAAGGGTGGAGGGCGAGAAATACTTAATACAGTAATAAAACGGCTACTCTTTTCCTATCATTCATCGTTTACACATGTGAATAGACGAATAGATTTTTTTTGGTTTAATCTCTCACTACATAAAAATTCATTAATGGTGCAGGGGGTGGGGGGTGGGCGAGAAATATTCAATACAGTATTCATTAATGTACAACTCTATATCTGTCCATATATGTTCAAAAGACATGTAGAAACAATTAGACAATAATAAGACCATAACTATTCAATGTCTTTTTTGGTCTTTTTACAGAAAACAAGTTAAATAGAACAACTGAATATGTTAAAACAAATCTCCTGGAGTTAATTCATGTTTCATTTTTGAATAACAAGGTTGATAATTGAATGATAATATTAAATAAATCAGAGGGGGTTTTGTGGAGAATTTAGTATTTTCATAGTTGAAATCATAGGTCAATTGAAGCTAGACCACCATCGAAAACTTGGTACACTGGATGGCCGTTTCGTCCCATTATGTGATTTCTCAGCAGTGAGCATTCACGATCCCGCCTACCAAGTTAAGAACCCAGAACCCATCAGTTTCGCGCACGAGCGCTTAACTACTAGACCACTGAACCGGCCGGTATCCAAAGGTGTTAATGTCTAAGTTTTATAATTAGCACTACTAACTGATCTCGGTTAAATAAATTATTTAAAAAAAAAAAGAAAACCAGGAAGCACTAGACAACTGTTTCATCCTAGCATGGGACTCCTCAATAGTACGAATCCATAACCTTATAGGAGATTGAGCTGAGAACCTACAGCTTTGTTTGAGAACGCCTAACCTGTAAACTATTGTAATGGTACCGTATGGTTCATATTGTTTAACTTCAATTAATTCACGATGTTGCACAATCATGATCTGATCTTAATGTCAAGTGATTCCTGTTATTCAATGATTGTCTAACTAAGATCAGTTCATGATATTAATTTTAAAAAATGTAACAATCTCTGCAAACCCACCCTCTATCCAGTAAACTAAAAATTATGAGATAACATTTCATAAATAGTTAGTCTAATTTAAATAGTTTGTCAGAATTAGTAACCTTCCATTAGGATCGAACCTCAAATTTATCACATTTCTATTGTGTCATCAATATTTCGATTTATTAAATGACTTAGTAATTTTTTTTTAAGCTTCTAACTTTTTATCTGTCCATTTAGATTAACTATTTCAATCGCTTGAATTTCCTACCCTATTCTAAGCTATTCGTAATAAATCCATAATGAGGAATTACTTGTTATTTGAGCATGTGTATACGATTTATTTTGCTTACAAATATCTTAATATTAGACACTCTCTACAATATTATCATGGTAGAGTTTGTGTGAAGCTACGTGAAGTTAAAATGGACACATCCTAATCTATAATGATGTATCTCGAAATACTGAAGAATATTTATACCACAGAAAGATTATTTTATCGAAATCATGTTCTCTGAATTGTGTCATTTATCCTTGAAGTGTTCATTACCTATCTGAACAAATTCATCAGTACAAACTCTAGATAAATAAACTATTTCATTAAGATACAGTGATGGTTTCGATAACTGGTGAAACATTAAGGAAACTTTTTTCATAATGAATTGACGTCAGTTAATAAACAGTTAGAAAATAAGGGGGATAACGATCATGTAGTTTGACATATTCGTTAATTTTTCAGCAAGGTTTATGCTTAAATTTTTGAGTGGCATTGAATTCCCACAAAGTATCATGCTTACTATAACACATGAAAGTTCTATCAGAAGGGGGGTTTGTGGCGATTTTAGTAATTTTATAGTTGTGATCATGAATCAATTAAAGCTAGACCACCATGGAAAACCTGGAAGCACTGTACGGCCATTTCATCCTATTGTGGGACTCCTCAGCAACACGCATCCATGATCCCGCCTCGTGAGATCTCAACTAGGAAAGTTTTAGTAGTTCACTTTCAAAAATTTCGAAACGAATAATGAAAGAAATATAATAGTGTTCTCATACTGTCACTTAGTCTTCATCTGATATCATCCAATGAAATAAAATTCTCCACAAAACCAATTCATGTCAAAAAATATTCAGATAATAAAATTCGGCCACACTACAATTTAAGGACGACCTTTAAACGACCCTTAAGTGACTTTGGGAATTATTAGCCAATCAGAAGACAGTTAGTATTGAGTAAATATATATTATACAACACCAAAGAATTAGAGTGCGTACACTTCTTCTACATGGTCCAAAAACTTGTCAAGGTTAGAAAAAGGTTCAAAGGTTTTAAAATCGTAATGCATAAGGTGGAGAAGCTCATACATATGGCTCCTTAATACTCGGTCTCTGGAGCCATGATAAGGTGACAAAAACTCTCTCAGCTTCGACCATATAGCTTAAATATTGTTTGTGTGTACTCCCGTTGTGTAAGTTTGGCATTTTTATTACTCATATATCCCTACAACACTCATACCACTGAACAGACAAAGCTTCAGTAACATCTGCGAATATTGCAGCCAATAACACTGGTGCTTTATTATACAGTTCACGGAAATTATTATAATTTACCTTAGTCTCAATCTGGGTAGAGTGAAAAAAGTTCCTATTCTAGTAGACATCCTACAACATATATTACACCGAAGAACAACATCACGGTAGTCTGCGCAAGATCTACTAGTCATTTGGTTACATCAATTAAAAATAAAGAAACTTCTTATTAGTCCCATTTATTAAAAACACTTAATAGTCACGTCTCTAAAATCCTCTGTGAATCGACTGTACACGAGCACCAGGTACTGAAATTTGCGCCGTGACCTTGAAATCTTTCATATGGGCTTAACATAACGAACGATACTACAATATAAACAACAGAACTTACCAGAATTAAATAATATCAATGCTTTTAAACAAACATATTCAGATTGATCTAAATTTAATTGTTGTATTCTTTCTAATTGATCTTGAAATTCTATTGAATATTGCTGATCCAGTAATAATAAATTAGATTGATCTGACCAATTCGATGTAACGACCTGATTATTATTATTATTATTATTATTATTATTATTATTATTGTAATCGGATGATGATGATGTAATCAATGAAATATTATAAATCTGAGCTAAATAAAGCATAAATAATTCTGGCCAAGAATTATTCAATAAAATCAATTGATCACTTGGCTAAAATCAATAAAAAAATTAATAATAAATAATAATAGAAGTTAATAGTCAGAAGGGGATTTGTGGAGATTTCAGTATTTTTCAAAGTTGAAATCATGAGTCAATTGAAGCTAGACCACCATCGAAAACCTGGAAACATCGTGGATGCGCACTGCTGAGGAGTCCCATAATAGGACGAAACGGCCGTCCAGTGCTTCCAGGTTTTAGAAGTTAATAGATTATATATTGAAAATGCTAATTAAATAATTGTCGATATATCAAGTTATGATCTATTCACTTTACTAATTGACTTATTTAACAACAATTACAGTTTTGTGTAGTTATCTTTGAGTTATATATTTACTTGTATAAAGCCGAATACTATCAGTAACAGCCTTCTGTGGGAGAGGACAAACCAGATTTCAACTGAAGAGAAAATTAGGAAAAGAAATTGGTAGTGGATCGGACATGTATTAAGTAAATCACCAATGTGCATTACAAGGTGAGCCCTAACTTGGAATCCGGAAGGGAAGTGGAAAGGAGGAAGGCCAAAGAACACATTATGCCGAGAAATAGAAGCAGATATGAAAAGGATGAATAACAACTGAAACGAACTGGAAAGGATTGTCTAGGATAGGGTTGGATGGAGAATGCTGGTGAGCGGCCAATGCTCCTCGACGAGGGGTAACAGGCGTAACTAAGTAAGTAATATATAAAAAAAAGATTGTATATAAGGATGTAGTACAGGAAGAATGAAAGATACGAAGCGATTTTAGTCTCACGTTTTAAGGGAAGATAAAGAGTGTATACACCTGCGCCATTGTGATCGATTCTGAGTCATGTCTAATGATAATTTTAAACGTCTGACATGTGAGTTAGAAGCCCAGTTTTCGTTATGTCCTGATAACGATTATGAATGGTAACTTTTGAGAACTATTTATGGAGCAATATGATACATATATTTTTATTGTATAGTTTTTAATTAACTAAACTATTCACATTCGTATCCCTCTTATTATAAGCTTTATTTCGACCCATATACTATTATTATACGATTTACCATTCATGAATTATTCCTAGTCTATTAATTACTGCCCCCCACATTCACAGCCACATTTGACTAAATCTTGTAAAAATGTTATTTTCTATTTTATGGTAGGATATGGTCCGTTGGATTGGCACATGCTTCAAATAAATGATTCATACCGCAGAGGCTGTTATTAGTGTTGTGCACTGAACTAGCTGGGTTAGGCAGAAAGCAGGACTAATACGTACTCTAAACTGTTCGTACGTTTTCCGTGTATCATTGGTCCGATCTATAATTCACTGTTCTCTAATTGGCGGTTTTATGACGTTGAACATTATCACGGTACCCACTCGATCACAAGGTATAACAGTTTTAGAATCTATCAGAAATTCTTTTTCGGAATATCAGCACGCCGTAATTCATTAAACAGTTAGATCTGAACATGAATGAAAACAGATTGATCAAGAAAAAAACAGTAATGAATAGCTTCCTAGATTCATTTCATTACTGCAATAAGGTAAAAGAACTATTCAATAATATATTTTGATTGCAATTATCAATTTAAAATCTCTTGATACCATGGGTAATGAATATCTGGAAGAAATAATTAATTACATTGAAAGGATGTTAAAAGTAATTGTCAGTATACTCTGATTCAACTAGGTTTTATGTTGTTAGATGGCTAGAGGTAATCGATAAGAAAATTTAGACCTAAGTTTTCTGATAGTTGACAGTCAACAATGATGCGTATTTTCAATCTTCAGAGAACTGATGCTCTCTGTAAAACTGAAATCCTTATCATCAAAGTTCATTTAATAAAACTTCACTACTGAAATATTCAGCCAACAACTGATTTCTGATGACATCCCAGATTAGGAAGCTGAATTACAGGTGCTTCATTCGTAAATGATACCTCAGTTTCCTTAATATTATAAGTATGACTTATTGACGAGTTACAGCTACAACTAACAGCTACATCTTAACCTGACCAATAAAACTCGATCATAACTAAAGAAATTCGATAAGCATTGCATTATTCACTATTCAGTCAATTGCAAAGGGTTGATTAAGTTGATATTCATCAAAAAGGCTGTAGCATATTTCAAACTTTAAATGACTGATAATAGAATCATTTCTGATTAGTATGTAGGGCCAGTGAAATGTAACTGAGCCCTAGCCAAATCATCCATCTGTTGGATCACTGAATATCGTACAGATCATCGATCCCTCTCAAGGTCAAGGACAACCAACACGCATTGGTTAATCGTATGTCATGTGTTGTACGGTCTTCAAAGCATCCATAGTACCTTGATACAACGAAGGGGTAGTCCACGTCAGCTGCTGACTGTAATGTGTGATTTTGATGTTAGCTGTTGTTCACACCATCCCCGTCTAACTCAAGTAGGCTCCCAATCATTCGACATAAATCATCTAGCTTGGTGATCTACAAGTATATTAATAATTGGTACTACTAACCAATAGACCCACATTTCATCAGAACTGACAATATTAATCAATATAATCAGCTGTCACTCTACTATCCACATACAATCAGTTTATATCCATGTAATCAACAAGATTTTGATGGTTTTAAAATCTACTTTCTACATTAACATTCATTGAAACAAAAGACAACATTATTCATGAGTCAGAATTATCTTCCATAAAGTTCCTTGATATTATGGCCAACTTGTATCTATTTATTATATACATTAATAATAATAAATTTCGGACAAAACTGTGTTGTTATGTTTTCTTTCTTTTATATCTCAGCAACTAATATCTTTACTTCACTTAGTATTGTTTGCTTGAATCTTCCCATTGATGTTTATCACTGCAATTGATCAGTCTCTTATTGGCATATGTGCATACTGTGTGTATTGCCTCGATTTCACTTTAGTTCACAAACATTATAAACAAAGATGAACAGTGGCTAGTAGTGGAACCCAGGGCACACGTTTCGTTCTATTTCGGACTCATCAACTGGATGTACCTACATTTTAGAGTTGATGTTTGAAACGAAAGGTACTTGGTTCGAGTCCCAGAGTAAACATTAACACTGAGATGCAGGTACATTCAGCTGATGAGTTTTAAGTAGGATAAAACACGCATCGTGGATTCAACTGCTAGCCATTGTCCATCTTTACTTTTCCAATTTTCTATACAGAAAAAAAAATATTCTCACATTAATTAAAATAGTGTTCAATCATTCAAGAATAATAAAAAAAAATTACGGAAATACATAAGGCAGAAAATAAGATTTACACACAGCATGCATTCTGGGCCAAAAAAAAAACAGAAAGACTTTGCTTCAGGCAACATATTATCATATAATTTCCCAGTTTTGATTATCCTTATTCCATGTTAGTAACTATAATACTAATCATTACTTAGAGTGTTATATGTAAATTGTTGTCATGTATATAAATATATATTTGTATTTGTTTGTCTGTATATGTTATATATTATCATTATTCCTTTATGTATATTTACCCCCCCCTTTTTTTGTTCATTTTATATAACCCCCTCCCTCTATGTTGAATCATAATACTCTAATTCAATTAAATCAATTGTACAAGAAGTAAAAAAGAAATGAATGGCCTAATTAATCTTTGACTTTATTGGCCTGTTGCATAACAAAGGTCAATAATTATAATAATAACATATAAAACTGTTTCATTTATTTTCCCAAAGGTTTGGTAAATATTTGATTAGATGCCTATATATATTCAGAAGGGGATTTGTGGAGATTTCAGTATTTTTCAAAGTTGAAATCATGAGTCAATTGAAGCTAGACCACCATTGAAAAACTGGAAGCACTGGACGGCCGTTTCGTCCTATTATGGGACTCATCAGCAGTGCGCATCCACGAACCCGCTCAGTGGTCTATGGGTTAAGGGCTTCGGCTCGTGACTGGTAGGTCCTGGGTTCGAATCTCGCGAGAGCGGGTTCGTGGATGCACACTGCCACTGAGGAGTCCCATAATAGGACGAAACGGCCGTCCAGTGTTTCCAGGTTTTCGATGGTGGTCTAGCTTCAATTGACTCATGATTTCAACTTTGCCTATATATATATATATATATATATATATATATATATATATCAGTTTAATGGGTGAGAAGAATTATAACACATTTTAAACTAAAGATGGATGATGGCTAATAATGGAATTCAGGATGCATGTTTCTTTCCGTTTGGGACTCGTCAATTGGATGTATCCCTACTTGGGAGTTGTTGTTCACTTCGAACGTCATCTCATTATCCATTTAGCTACTGAGTTCGATCAGTCACTGACTTGTGAGACCAATAAAAAACATATTTGTTTGAATAATTTTTTACTCTTTTCCCTAAAGAGTAAGACGATAAGTAATATTATGTTGAACCTAAATGTCTGTATATCATTCGACCACAATATTTCTATCAATAGACAAACAAAAAGAATCATAAGTAGACAAATTTTGGTTATTTAATATTAAATCTAGTTGTCTTGTCAATACTCTAACTAATGTATAATAAATTATGTCTTCTTATAGTATTCTTCAACAAAAGGTGGGAAATGCTAAAGTGTAATCTTTATTCTAACTAACTTGAATAGCCCTATTAAAAGAAATTCATTATCAGTAAAAAGATGGTCATTATTCATGTTGTTCTGTAAATCTTGGTTTTCTCAAAAAATTTAAATTTATATTTGAAGGGGTTATTGTGGATATTATATTCAATTAAATAGTTGAGATCATGAGTCAATTGAAGGTAGACCATCATGGAAAACCTGGATTAATTAAGATTTATCAAGAGATCATGATATACTAAGTTATTATTTTAGTTGTACAGATTGTGAAGTGTAGTTCAGGATGAGAGCATCAGAATTAAGCATTATATGGAACGTTTCAGCTACTCTCCTTTCTTTGTAATTAGAAAAAAACTTTTTTGAAATATTTTGATGGTTCTGAAATTAACTTGGTGGTCGGTGAAGTAGTGTGAAACGTCAGAAAATCTCATTTTCGTACTCATTCGGATATTAAAAAAATATTAAGCGCTCACGCGCGAGGCTCATAGATCCTAGGTTTGAATCTCATGAGTCAGGATCGTGGATGCGCACTGCTGAGGAGTCCCATAGTGAGATGAAACTGTCATTCAGTGCTTCCAGGTTTTCCATGCTGATCTAGCTTCAATTGACTCATGATTTCAAATATAACATTATAACAATCTACTCAATGCCCAATATATTCAAAATTATCAAATCAAAACTTGGTAATGGTACCTACCTAATGAACTGTAGATTATAGCAACTATTCTACACCGAATTTCGATTACGGTTAAATTAGGTTAAGTCATTTTATTAACTTACTTAACAGACATTGTCATTTGTATAGTAACAATTCTTATATATCTTTGTACTGTTATGATCATTACAGCACATGACAGACTCTAACCAAAAAGTTGATTACTGAAATATCATTCAGTGATTCATCCTCCTCCCCGTATATGTATGCACTCAAATCCTATTATCAGCTTTTGTTTTGTATTGCTACGCCCTTATACAATATGATTATAAATTTGCCTATGTAATTGCTTACGCTAGATCTCTGATACTTACTCATGTGCTTGTAGTTTTCTGACCTGTGTCATTTGATAATAAACTGTAGTTGCCACTTCTATTTACCTTCTGATTTCATGTACCGTTAAGATTTGTATTATAACAGTTATCAAGGTGAACGATTACCTGAAGCATTACACTACAAGTTCATTAGTTTACTATAAAATATACACAGAATAAACTATTCTTCATAATGAACTTACATGTAAATCTGTAAATAAACTAATATTCTTTGCCCATTCAATTATAACCAATAAATAATTAAGTGTAGAATTAGTGATTTCATTTAATATTGTCAATTGGTGATTATGTTTCATATTAGGAATGAATGACTGTTGTTGTCGTTGTTGTTGTCGTTCTTGCTCACTTGATAAAGATCTTCTAACAGTTGAAGATGTTGAAGTAATGATAGATGATTTTTCATTCATAAATGAGTTTATTGATGAATTCAATGTTAAATGATTACTTATATGATTATGATTATTATCAGTACTACTTATATCATTATAAGTAGTCAAATGAATCATTTCAGAAGATTTGATAGTTTCATTCGAATAATTATTACCTTTGTGTAAATCTTTGATTATTCTAGATTTATATAGAATCAAATTAAGATGATTTATAAATTGTTCATTATTTAAATATTGATATGAATGATTCTCAGCTAATAATAGCATAATAATTAATTGAGTAACATTTGGATCTATCATCATATTATGAGGATGATGAGGATGATGAATGGATGGAAATGAATTGGAATTAAGAAAATTTGATAAACCAATATATGAATGATAGAATAATGGAAATGGAGGTAGACGACCTTGTTGAACAGCTGTAATGACAAAAAGATTAGGTTCTTTTTCAAGAACAACATAGAAAAGGATACAACAAGCTACTACAAAACAAAGCTTAATACTAAATTTACTTAGTGTTACTTATTTGAATCTTTCCATTTATGTTTAGGATTGCAACTGGTCAGTCTCTAATCGGCATATGTGCATACTGTGCGTATTGCCTCGATATAGCCTTATTTCACAAGCTTTGTAAGCAAAGATGGATGGTGGCTAGGAGTGGAATCCAGGACGCGCGTTTCGTCCTGGAATTTTAACTTCACCACATCGTACAAGCAAGTAGCTATCAGGACTCAGTAGATCAGTGGATAACGCAATGGCGCTTGAAGTGAAGGGTACTGGGTTCGAATCCCAGAGTAAACATCAACTCTGAGATTCAGGTACATCCAGCTGACGAGTCCCAAATACGACGAAACACGCGTCATGGATTCCACTGCTAACCACTATCCATCTTTGCTTACAAAGCTTAATACCAAGTGAAAGCAATTAGTATATTTGATAAATTTCGATATTTTAATAAGAAGACGAAGATTATCATAATTATGTGATCATACATTAGCACAATACATTTCGAACAATCTGATCACACATAATCAACTTGTGAAGAACATTTATATATAAAAATAAAAGGTCAACTAGACTGGAAACGGGTTGTAGGAGGTGACAAGGATAATAATAATAATAATAATAATAATAATAATAATAATAATAATAATAATAGTGTGAGAACAATTTGACACCTAATCACTCTGGATTATAAGCAAACTATTTTTGAATACACGAAGGGGGCTTGCATTTTCATATGGCTAAGGCTTCAATAAACCTTAATATACACCCTTTTACACTTTTATACAACACCATAAAAGCCGAGTTAAGATCAGTTACAGTTTCCACTTATTATTTATCTATGTAAATTTATTTGATTGGTTTAACCTCAAAGATAATTTTCGTTACAGACCTGCATTATTTCCTTCATTTCATTATGTAAACTGGTTGAAGTTGACTGATTGAACTATTAAATCCCAACTATATGTCTATTGAATTTAATCCTACGTAGGATGATGTGTAAATATTCCTGAAGAATAAAAGAACAAAAAAAACGACAACCTATTGCTTCTTGACTTTTCCTACTTTATCAGAAGGGGTTTTGTGGAGATTTCAGTAATTGCATAGTTGAATTCATCAGTCGATTGAAGCTAGACCACCAAGGAAAACTTGGAAGCACTGGATGGCCGTTTCGTCCTATTGTGGGACTCCTCAACATTACTCATACACGATCCTGCCTCACGAGATTCGAACCCAGGACCTATCAACCTCGCGCCAGAGCACTTAACCGATAGACCACTGAGCCGGCATCCGATGGTGTTAATGTCTAACTTCAACTTTTCCTACTTTTCCTGAGAATATCAGTTTGTATTGTAAAATTATCGACAAATTTATATTTATGTTACAATAGTGTATTGAGAAGATGAAGTTAACCTTAAAAATAAGAAATACATTGTTATGTAATATACATTTTAAACAATCTGGTAACTCAAATGTTTCATAAGGTATTTATGTATGAAAATGAAAACAATTGATTTTTATTCCACGTTTTCCCTGGTGGTCTAGTTTCAATTGATTCACACTTTCAACTATGAAAATACTAAATCTCCCCAAAAACCCCTTCTGATAATAATAATCATATGCTCATTAGTGGCTGACTTCGAGAAGTAAATCCTGGAGTTCTAGTGAGAAGCAGTGACCAGTGGAGATCAAACCACGTATGCTGTGAGATAGGAGATCACTGAAGACAATTGATAAACGGTTGATCAAACTTCGTGGATTGGTTGGAGATGGACATAAACACCATTGGCTGCCGGCCCAGTGGTCTATCTGTTAATTGCTCTGGCGCGAGACTGGTAGGTCCTGAGTTCGAATCTCGTGAGTCAGAATCGTGGATGAGCACGGCTGAGGAGTCCCATACTGGAACGAAACGGCCGTCCAGTGTTTCCAGGTTTTCCCTGGTGGTCTAGCTTCAATTGACTCACGCTTTCAACTATTTAATTTTTAATAAATAAATTCATGAGTTGATTAAAGTTAGACCGTCATGGAATACTTAGAAACACTAGATACCCTTAAAATGTCTGACACTGAAATTCTTATGGAGGAATGGCAATAAAAAAGCAGAAAATCTTTTAAGATCCTTAACTCTTAATAATTGAAAACTGATATGATAAAGTACACCTTAACCCTACCGATCATTATACTACATTCATAAAGGAAAATAACTGAAAATGTTTTATAGGATATTATCCAATTAAATTTAATACTTAATAAATATTAAAGATCGTAATCGTGAATGTGCCTTGCTGACGAATCCCACAATAGGACGAAACAACCATCCTGTGCTTCTAGGTTTTCCATAGTGGTATATCTTCAACTGACACGTGAACTCAACTAATAAATTAGTATGATACCCACAAAACCCCTTTCTGATAAAATATTAAAGAGTCGAGAATAATGATGTCAAGACAATTACGACAATCACATTATCGCCTTTACGGTGTTACACTAGATAATACAGACGGCTAAGCCGTGTTGAGCATGAATTCTTTCATAACTACTTCTCGTTCTATTGGAAGACAAATAATATAAAATTCATGAGTGATGCAAGTATCCTACATCTACCAGGATAACATTAATCAGTTGGCTATGAGTGCTTATTCACAAATAAGTTCATACCCGAATTAAGAAGCTAGTGGTTAATTCTACTGAAAATTTTTCAAATCCTGGATAATTTAACACAATATTTTCTTTAAAATGTTGGAAAGACTAAAAGGGAAATGATATTCGAGAACAGGTATTCAGTTTCAGTTCATTTTACGCCTGTTACTCCCAATGGAGGATGGGCCGCCGACCAGCATTCTCCAACTCACTCTGTCCTGGGCCTTCCTTTCTAGTTCTATCTAGTTTTTGATCATTCTTCTCATGTCTGTTTCCATTACTCGGCGTAATGTGTTCTTTGGTATTCCTCTTCCCCTTTAGCCCTCAGGATTCCATGTGAGTGCTTGCCTTGTGACACAGTTGGTTAATTTCCTCAATGTGTGTTCTATCCACTTCCAGCGCTTCTTTCTGATTTCTTCCTCCACTGAAATCTGGTTTTTTGTTGTTAAGTCGGCTTACAGTAAACTCTATCAGAGCCTCCAGAGGCTCATAAAGAGACCCAACCAATCAGCGATTAATTAGAAGCTATGCTACTAAAATAACGAGATCCTGATTGACTATTTAACACACTGCTACTATGGAAACTCAAGGTCTCTTAATTACTATAAAACCCCTGTATTTTCTGCACATTAATGAATCCTGTAGTAAAGCGCTTCCCTCATACCTTGTGCCTTTTCTCTGGTCTTCAAGTTGCTGTGTAGTTCTAGCTCGGGGATACGGAACTAGCTTAGGGAAGCAAATATAGCGTTCACAATCGGCCAGATATAACAGTTGTCTCCCACAGTAGTTTGTTGCTGATAGTATCTGGCCAACGGAGAACAGGTATATTTAGGAATTAATAAATCCAAAAAATGAAACGTGTACGGTGTTACAAACGTATAACCACTTTATGTAATAAGTGTACACGAAACATTTTCCCCAACATTATGGAACAAAGTAAACACTAAAATGTAATGAAAAGAACTCTCCACATTAAACTACAAGATATCCTACACTTTTTTAAATGAGAGAATTGTCAGTGTTGTACGAGTTGCATTACTCGACCATTTCCAAATTTCATCACACTCAAGACTGAAGCTAACTGTTCTATATTTAGACAGAATTAATCTGAGAATATTAAAGATAGAACATCGTTTGATGTGTTTGCTAAACATTTAAAAATACTAACAGAAGTAGTGTCAATTTACTTAGCTTACAGTTAACAGGTTTATGATTTGACTCCAGTAATTTCTACATGAATTTCAACACCTGGATACCATCATCAAACATTACTAATATAAAAGTGTAACTTACAACCGAATGTAGATAAACTAGGATTTGATAAATGAATTACATTTCATATTCAAACAGGTAAATAATGATATTCATAAAGAATTATCATTTGTATATAGTTAACAGAAATGGAATTTCGTTTTAGTTAAGTAGAGGAATTTCAACATTAAAAATAACTTATATTATACCATTCATACAAATAAATCAGTGTTCTCAATTCACTTTATTGTTTCAGGTTGAAATAGATACTTTCTTATGTGAAAAAACGGCTAAAAACATTGTTATATTAGTGATAATGTTTACTTTTAACAGTTGAAGACATGAGTCAATTCAAGCTGGACCACTATGGAAAACTTGGAAACACTGGACGGTAGTTTTGTCCCAGTACGGGACTCCTCAGCAGTGTGCATCCACGATCCCGCCTCGTGAGATTCGAGCCTAGGACCTATCAGTCTCGCGCGTGAACGCTTAATCTCTAGATCCCTGAGTCGACATCCAGCAGTGTTAATGTCTAACTTCAACTAATTTACAAAGTTTGAGCAAAGAATAAAAATTTTTTTTTAAAAAATAAAATAAAAGCATATTTATCATAGTTGAAAGCGTGAGTCAATTAAAGCTAGACCACCATGGAAAACCTGGAAACACTGGACGGCCGTTTCGTCCTATTGTGGGACTCCTCGTGGGACTCCTCTCATAATAGGGCGAAACGGCCGTCCAGTGTTTCCAGGTTTTCCATGGTGGTCTAGCTTCAATTGACTCACGCTTTCAACTATGATAAATACTAAATCTCCACAAAACCCCTTCTATAATTAAAGGTATATTCATACCTTCTTTACGCATTCCAACTTTAATACATTTTTGAAAACGACAATATTGACATTGATTACGATGATTAATATCAATTGGGCATTGTTTATTACTACGACATGTATAATTTAATTTACGTCTTACAGAACGTTTAAAAAAACTTTTACATCCTTCACATGTATATTGACCATAATGTTTACCACTACTTTTATCACCGCATACAACACATTCGATGAATTGATTTGGTTTTAAATGAATTCCCATATCAGATTCGTTGAATTGTTGCTGTTGTTGTTGTTGTTGCCGTCGTCGTTCTTCAATATCTTCTTGATCATCTTCTATTTCATAATCATCATCATCATTATCATCATCTAGATTGGAATATTCCTCAATTAGTTTTTGTTTATCATTATGATTATTCTCAATCAGATCGGGATTATGATGACAGTTCACATTTGTACCTGTATCTATTTGGTTTAGATTGTTGTCAAGACTCATTTTTATGGATTTATTATTACCATTATCGATCATCGAATATTTGTTCCGTTTTTTTATTGATTTATTATATTTTAAAGGGGTATCATATTTATTGATTGGTGAAATGATTTTTGTAGATTTATATGTTTTAATATTGAAATTATCATTTAAATTCATAAACATGTTAGGAGTATCGATTGGTGATGTTGGTGAAATGGAAGTAGTACTAGTGGTAGTACTACTACTATTACTACTAGAAGTAGTAGTATTAAAGTTATTTTCTTCATTAAAATACTTTGTCAACTTCCGTTTTGAATCAATCTGTTCAACATCATTAGGGGACTGATGATTAAACATTGAATGATTCATTTCCTCATCATTCATCAATGTTAATTCCTTGTAGTTAGAATCCGTTAAAAACATTTTTGTTGGTCTATTCAATTCATAATGATGATGACAGCAATCCAACCATAAAGAACTACACTGAGAATTCAATGGATTCGAAGTAAACTCTTGATGATTGAAAGGAAATTCTCTTTTCTTGAATATATTCATATTTGTACTTAAATTAATTGGCAATGGATTAAATGCGGAAAGTCTCTTTTGATTTGAAGATGTATAAGATGTGGAACAATTAGTTGCGGAAACTGAAGTGGACATTGTAGATATCGATGATGATAGAGACATTGATGGTGATGATGATGACGACGGCAACGATGAAGAGGAAACCGATGAAGACAGAAAAGACAATGAATGATTATTGTAATTGTTTTCTACTCCCCATAAATGTGGAAATAATAAATCCGGTGGTGGAGGTCGTGGAACAAAAATTGGTGAAAAATCATATTTACTTGATCCATTTGACGTTGTCATGATGATGTAATCTTTTCAAGAAATATATATTTATTAATGAGCCATATAGTGTCAATTGGATATTATTTGAAATGAAGACTACTATTAATAACTTGTCTTTAAATAATCACACATATACATGCTCTCCCTCCTTCTTTCCCTCTCTCGCTCTCTCTTCCCACTTCGATTTAGTTTATAAAGTTTATTCTACTGGATTGGATCATGATCTTGGTGATAAAAGACATAAAAGGGGTGAATAGGTGGTTAATGATAATGATGTAATGATAATCAATGGTATTAGACACATGCATATATATCCAGGTTTAAATAAGTATTCAAGTGAAGAAAATCACATAGAAACATTATTCTACAATGTATGTCTGTGTATAAGACTGTGTGTATGTGACTGAAAATTATCTATATTCATAACGTAATCTATTATGTTTTGGAGTTGATATAGTCGAAACCTTTCACCGACCATAGTTGCGATCTTATCCGATCATCAGTTGTTTTTATCTTCTAAAGTTACCCCTGGTTTCCATGTGACTATTATTAGTAGTAATCACAGTAATGATACTAATATTAGTAATGGTATTATACCGATGTTACCTTCTCAGAAAAACCATAACGTTTAATGTAATCTATCTCACATAATTCCTGCTACAACTAACACTATAATAAATGTTGGTGATGGTAATGTTAATGATATCAGTGGTTAACTGGTAAGGGATGAAAAGTATTTGTCAAATACACCATAACAACAATAGACATGGGAAGCGTTATCATTATTATTGTTCTTATATGACTTCCAATCATATTCAAATTAAATGTTACAATGTCTTAACCATAGGGCAGTAATAAATGGAAGATAGTTAAGACAAAAAGTTCTCTACTTTATATGTGTGTGTTTGTATGCATACATGTATATGTACATCTATATACACATATATACGTCTCCCCCTCAATTTATCCTTAACTAATTCTATATTGGTAACTAAACTATCCAACAAGTCAATCGGTCAACTTAACTAACCACTAAGATGATTTCCCTTATCTTTCATCTTTTTTTTTGTAGTGGAAGAAATATAGTAATCATGACATTAAACTATCAAAAGGGGATTTAAAAAAAACAACAACAAGCCAATGAATAACTTCTTCAATATTGATGAATAACATTAGGATCACTTCAATTTTTTTTTAATAATTTTTTTTGTCCCCCTTAATCAAAAAATTTTCATCCCATTTTCCAATTTTTTTCAATCCCTTTCGTCCAATGAAATTCCTAGTTGTAAATGCGTTGTAATTGGTTATGTAATTCTTGAAATTCGTATAAAAGCTCTGTACTTATGGATATAGATAATTTTCTTCACAATATGGACGTCAGTAACGTGCAAATTAGAGGCTCTGTTGTTCCTCACGTAGTCACAGAAACTGAAAATGTATTTTTGAATACATTGTATCTGGTAGCGTTTCCATCACTGGAAGCGTTAAAGAGTGCCATTAGAACTTATGAAATAGCAACGTACTGCCATTATGCGGTGAGAGATTCTAATTTCCATGGAGATCGGAAGCCGTATATTAAATTTGTATGTTGGAGAAAGAGCTATAAAACACCAAGCGTTTCTTCGCAGCCGATTAGACGAAGGAGGTAAATTGATTAGTGTTATTATATTGTTCATTGAGGACTTCAATGGACACACAATGTCCGGCCTTCATCTTTTGTAAGTTTCTTGAAGGTTATTGGACTGTTGTTCGTGGGAATGTGCATCACAATCACGAGTGCAATTCCCTGAGGTACGACTGTAACACATGGATGCGCCGTTTAACGGGAGCAGAATTTGAATCAGTGAAGCCACTGCTGATATCTGGAACATCAGCATTCAATGTGATACACTACGCTTACCAATCATATGGGAAACGTCTTACAGCTCAAGATGTTTTCAATATGCGTTACAGAGTGTTCTCACAGGCCAACCTCCCTGGTAAGCAATGTGCATATTTATACTATTAACTGTAGGTGATTACGGTAAGTTGAAAAATCACATCACGTCACTTGGTGGCCTTTGTGATTATCAATTGGATGCAGATCATAGTCTGTTGTACTTCTTCTTCGCTACAGCAGACCAGATCAATCTGTGTAACAGGTTTTTAGATGTTGTTGGTTTTGATTGGACATACAAAACCAATAATGAAAACATGTTTCTTTATCACGTGGTGGCTTTGGACATGAATTTCATGGCAATACCTGTTTGTATTGCATTTGTAAGTCGCGAAACATCGACTTTGCTGTCCAGTTTCCTCTCGTTCTTCCGCCAAATGAGTAACAATAGAGAGGTTATCGGTATTGTTACCGACGATTCACCTGCTATAGCTGCTGCCATAACGCAGGTGTATCCCAATTCACACCACCTTTTGTGCCGCGTGCACCTTCTTCGAAATGTCATCAAGAGGGTAAGCTTTCCTTTCTTTACAAATAACCCATTCATCGTATTCGTAGAGGCTACGATCTGATCTTCTTCAAATGTTCTACCGTCTTATGCTAACAAGAAATGTGGAAAGGTAAATCGAAATATGCTTTACAATGTATTGTAGCTTCCAACGGTATGTGTCATTTATCGAAGCAGCAGACGGGAATTTCTATCAATATTTGAGAGATCAGTTATTGTCCAAAAAGCACAAGTGGTCGAACGCTTTTAGACCAGCTGCAATGCTTCTAGATCAAAGCAATACAAATTTCGTTGAGACGACCCATCGAATTTTAAAGTTGCATAAGCTGAACAGAAAAACACCCGTGTTCAGATCGATATTTAGTGTTCTGCTTCGCACTGGATATTGGATAGAAGCTCGAGTTCAAAAGTACTCCACTGAATGCCGTAGCAGGGCTGTGCTGGGTCGCGAGCCTCAACTACGTCGTCTTCAGGCCCTTTTCAGGGCCACCCACAATTTGATCTAAATTTTGTTTGAATTTCTTGTTTCCATTTTAAGGAGGAGTCATGAAACCATCAATAATTCATTTCACATTCATATGATTTGGTTACTAGGTACAGTAGAGAAATGTAGTAAGATCAGTTCACTAGTACAACAAGATCTTTTCTATTGCTAAGGTCAAGTGAACATATTTGATATAATGAACATTAATCTGTCGAACAAAAGTATATGCAAAGGTGTGTACGATCATTCCAATCTCTTTTCACTTAGCTAAGGTAGACGATTGTACTGAGATCAGTTCATTAGTACAACAAGATAATTTGTATTGCTAAGGTCAAGTGAACATACACTGATCATTCATCACAATTCCATAGTAATGAAGATGTAAAATAACTTTTTCTAGATTAATAATAATAAAGTGATTATCGATCACTTTATAATTTTGTCAACAGCTTTTAAGGTTTTTCAAATTTAAGGTTTCAGTAAACGATTCCGTACAGAAAACAACGTCATATAATGAAGACTTACATATCTAACAAGTCATTAATAATAATAATAATAATCATAATCATAATAATAATAGTTATAATAATAATAATGGAACATACGAAATGTAATAATAATGTTTCATATGAGATTTATCACTACATAGCAAAAATTCGATACAGTGATGAATGTCATTTAGACATTTGATAAATAAATGTACAGTTTAACTTAACAGATTGAAATACGATATTCTAAATACATAATGGTTACTTGATACAATTGACCTTATTCACATTAAGTCATATCATTGAAATAGAAATTTATTTCACTAGACATAGGCTTGTTCATTGACACTTCATTCAACCTATATTACACATATGCTTGTCAAAGAAGTTTACTTTTTCAACATTCAGCGATTTACTGTTTGACAGTTTAAGAGTAATTATTATGTCTTTGTGACGGAAAATGTACATAGTTTTTCATTGTTCGTCCAGTATGTTTAACAAAGGAAACTGTTGGATTTGGAAATATAATTTCAGTCTTTCTAATTAATTAACATTTACAATGCTATTTACTAATGAAAATAAAAAATTCAGATCATTCATTTGAAAGGCTGTGCACTTAAAAAACATTGGCTGTTAACATCACCTGCCAAAAAATATTATGCCCACCTTACAAATACAATTACCGTATTACATGACTGAGTACACTAACATGTCTTTTCGGTGATCATTAATAAGTGATCAACTACAAATAATCTACAGGTCAGCATATTTTATGCTTTGAATGGATTTACAAAAAATCTTGATAACCTTGATATTGCGTTCATTTTCAAAACCTTTTCATAGCTAAAGTAATCAACTTTTTGGTATTAAGAATAACGGTTTGCAAAATAACTGAATTATAAAGACTATTTGCTTTTTTCTCAGACATGATTACTAATTTCAGACAGCGTAAAAGTTGCTTCATTTACCCATCTTTTACGGTTAGCGTGACTTCGGCATGACCCATTCACTTTCTCTTTATCATGATTTATTCATATACTTACACGAATATAACGTTTATTAAATGAGCGAACTATGTGTTAAATTAACTTATGGGAATACTTAAACCAAAATGTGTTCACTAATTGTGTATTAAACATTTGAGACTACCCTTTGCAAATTCAATAATCACCATTATATCAACTATTATGTAACAGCTGTCAGTTTTTTTTCAAAAATTAACTTTCAATGATCTACGCATTATTATTACTCTTGTAACGATAACTGATAACTTTAGTTGCATTTGTACTTCATAAAAAGAAATTACATTCACTAACAGGAGTATAGCAGGGTAATGAAATGGATTTGTTTTTGTTTTTTTCGAAGTTAAAATTTTTTACAAATCTCAGATGGAACAATGCGAAAATAGTTCATTATTGTAAATAATAATCGAATGGAAAAATGTCAATTCTTACATCCAATAAAAGCACTTTATTCTAGTTTGATTTGAACGAATCAGATTACAAAACTGCACCATTTACAACCAATTAAAAAATTATTACAGGTGACAAAATGTTTGTTCATTTGCACTTGAGCACACACTTTCAAAAACAAATTCACCAATCACCAATTGCTAAATTTTTTTCATATCCTTTAATTTCCAAAAAAAGGGGGGTAGGGGATTATACGTGCAGTGATTC